TTCTCACACCTTGTGCAGCAGCCACATAGATAACTTGCAGTTTTTCTAACTTGCAATGATGTCTCAAATTCCAAGGCATTTCTGGTACCACACAGCCTGCCTGGTAAAATCCTAGCCTTCTTTCAAGATAAATTGAAAAAAACACCTCAGTGAGTTCTTTCTACCTCCTCCAGGTAGGACTGACCACTGTCTCCTTTGTGCTCTCACTTTCACCACCATCCTAAAATACTTATACTTAGGTTAAATAATTGTCCTTCTTACTGAACTGGAATTTCTCTGAAGGGAAAGACCAGGAATTATTATGAATTATTTATCATTGTATTCCTAGTACATAGCCCACAGTACACATCAAAAAAAAAAAACTTTTGTAAATGATTGAACAAATTAATAAACACCCAAGGCCCCCAGTAAGCATCAAGGCCTAAGGAATGCATATCTGGATTTCTAAGCAATCATAAGATTTTACAACACCATGTTAAGCACCAGGGACATCAGAGAGCTTTTAGTCTAGTTAGGGAGGCCAGTAAAGACCTCCTAAAGGAAGTGGCATTAAACTGAGACTTGAAAAGCCAGTAGTTAAGCAAAGATAGGAAAGCAAATATTTCAGACGAAGGGAGTAGCTGGCACAGAGTTTAGAACATGGAGAATGGTATGGTGCATTCACAGAGCAAAGAGATGTGCAGAATGGCTGGACCCCCAAGAGGGAAGGGCAGAGTGATGCAATAAAGATGGGAGGCAAACCAGACTGGACCATGCAGAGTCTTGCAGATGTTCACAAAGAAAAGTGCAGCACCCTCCCGTAGACAGAACACACGTCCCCACCAGAACCCTTGGAATTCTGACTCAAGCAGTCCCTAACGTCCTGATGAACAGTTAGGAAACTTGAAGGAATATGAGCATTTGTAGTCAAAACTACTGGAAGGCCTCAATTAAATGTTTTACCTTTAAACTGATAAATATTTACAGACTAAGTTTTGTGTAATTTTTTTGGGGGGGGTCTTTTTTCTTCTGTTAGTAAAAGTATGCTTGCTATTGGAATGTTGAAAATATTTTGTTGCTCTTCCAATAATGCTCATTTTTCCAGATGCTTGCATTCATTCTGCATGTGCTATTTTGTCATTTGACTTGCTTAATTTATTATGTTCACATTCAGATGCAATGTGAAAACCCATTGTGTTAGTTTATTCTTACATTGCTATGAAGAAATAACTGATGGAATCTAATTAAACTCAAGAAATTCTTCACAGCAAAAGAAACAGTCATTAGAGTGAATCAGCAACCAACAGAATGGGAAAAACTTTTTGCAGTCTACCCATCTGACAAAGGGCTAATATCCAGAATCTACAAAGAACTAAAACAAATTTACGAGAAAGAAACAAAGAACCCATCAAAAAGTGGGCAAAGCAGATACTTTTCAAAACAAGATATTTGTGTGGCCAACAAACATGAAAAAATGCTCATCATCACTGGTCATTAGAGAAATGCAAATTGAAACCACATTGAGATACCACCTCATGCCAGTTAGAATGGTGATCATTAAAAAATCTGGAGACAACAGATGCTGGAGAGGATGTGGAGAAATAGGAACACTTTTACACTGCTAGTGGGTGTGTACATTAGTTCAACCATTGTGGAAGACAGTGTGGTAATTCCTCAAGGATCTAGAAATAGAAATACCATTTGACCCAGCAATCCCATTACTGAGTATATATCCAAAGGATTATAAATTGTTCTATTATAAAGACACATGCACACGTATGTTCATTGCAGCACTGTTTACAATAGCAAAGACTTGAAACCAACCAAAATGCCCATCAATGATAGACTGGATAAAGAAAATGTGGCACATATACACCATGGAATACTATGCAGGCATAAAAAGGATGAGTTCATGTCCTTTGCAGGGACATGGATAGAGCTGGAAATCAATCTCAACAAATTGACCCAAGAACAGAAAACCAAACACTGCATGTTCTCACTCATAAGTGGGTGTTGAGCAATGAGAACACAGGGTCACACAGAGGGGAACATCACGCACCAGGGCCTGTTGGGGCACAAGAGAGCTAGGGGAGGAATAGCAGAGGGTGGGGGGATTGGGGAGGGATAACATTAGGAGAAATACCTAGTGTAGATGATGGGGGATGGAAGCAGCAAACCACCATAGCATGTGTATACCTACGTAACAATCCTGCATGATCTGCATACGTACCCCAGAACTTAAAATATAAAGAAAAAAAAGAAAGAAGTGAGTCTGGGTAATTTGTAAAGAAAGGAAATTTAATTGGCTTATGGTTCTGCAGGCTGTACAAGAAGCATAGCACTTCTGCTTCTGGGGAGGCCTCAGGAAATAATCATGGCAAAGACAAAGGGAAAGTAGGCATGTCTTACAGGGTTGGAGCAAGAGAGAATGTGGGGAGGTGTTCTTATGTCTCATGTTTGCATGCATATGTTTATACTAGAGAGCAGCGGTGACCTAGAATTCATTCCATTGCCTGGTTATCTGGCTCTTCATAAGCATCTTAGGCTGGAGCCAGCATTGCCTATAATTCCATCACAACTCTGAGCATCTATTTTTGAAAGAAGAAAAAAAAGTGTGGGAGGGGAAGCTTAGAATTGACTCGACCTCTATTGAACTGTAAGAACGTTAAATTTAATAGTGTTTTATTTTTTTTTCAGTTTTTATTGAAGAAGTAAGATTGTCCCTAGCAGATGGAGACACGGATATGGGAAATAACATTTGTTCCATATAATTATTATGAGCTTCCACCTTTCTTAGCATAGACAGTTTCCCAAATGCAGCTTCAAGTTACCCCTTTACAAGCATGATAACAATAATAGCCAATGTATATGTAATGCCCTATATGTGCCAAGTACTACTAACACATACATAGACATGCACATCACATACACACATATACCACAGGCACACACATATTTAAACTAATTTAGTTCTCACAATGACATTTTGAGGCAGGTTTTATTATTGCACAGATGAGAAAACAAAGGTACACTTTCTCTATCTGTAAACCTCTGCTATGCAGAAATTCTGGAGGGGCTTCTGGCCCCTTAATTTTAAAATAAGGCTGATAATACAATACTTACCACATGGCAATTCTCTAAAGATTAAATAAGATATATATATATATATATAAAGCACTTAGCTCAGGGCCTGGAGGGATGTGACGAAATTTGTAGTTTGAGATGGTCCCCTCAGTCACCTCATTCTTAATCCCTTTCTCAACTTCTATTTTATACAGAATTTGTGAGCATAGCATCATCAATTACCCCTCATACGGAAACGAAAACTCCAGGATTGCCCACAGAGGTTACCGTCCCATCAGTGACAATCGGTTTGTTTTTATTTTTAAATGGTGGCTCCGAAATCATTGTTGTGTTGCAACCCCACTTTAAGGGATCTGTCACGGCAGGGAAACTGACAAACACTGAGAAATGGGCGCTAGGTAGACACAGCCTCTGCTACGGAGGAATCCTTGCCTCTGGAGTATCTCACAGAAATAATACTGTGAGTTAAAGACATTAAAACAACGTAGCAAAGCGCAGAAATGATGTGTGTGACCATGAAATAGTGGGCCAGATAAAGGGGATCTAATACTGCAGTGGCACGGAGGGTCTGCGTGCAAACCAAGTTCAGCTCAGACCTGGGCTCAGCTCCATCCCAGCTGCTGGCTCAGGGTGAGTTGCGCTGCAAGGTTTCTATCCCCTTAATTTTAAAATGGGGACAGTAACACAGTACTTACCTAACAGCGTTTCTCTAAAGGCTAAACAAGATGTATGTAAAAGTGCTTAGCTCAGAGCCTCCCACATTCTTGGTGACTGATAAATGATAAGCAAAGCTGGGTGCAGAGATAAGAGTAGTCAGGTGGCGGTCTCTCTTGTTAGTTTTCAGGAGAGAAGAAGAAATTCTGGAGCTGCTGCTGGGAGGGATGTGGGAGAATTTGTGTTTCATGATACGTTTTATGTTCACACGGTCACCTCATTCTTGATCCTTTTCTCAACTTCTCTTTTATGCAGATGAGCACAAACTGGACACGGGCCCAATCCCTACTAGTGCTGATGGAGTTTCAGAATCTTCTGGTAGAAACCATTTACGTCCAGAACAGAAAAACGGTATGTTCTTAGTTTTAAATGGTTGCTCTGGAGTCACTTGTGATTGAACTCTACGTGAGCTGTAACTCGTGAAAGTTCTCAGACTTTCATGGCTGAAAACCCATGTGTTTTACTTCAAAGCCCATCTACCAACCATAACTATCACCTTGACAAAGAAAGAGAAGGCAAGCCCCAATTAACCTTTATACATAAAGCCTAAAGAATGAAAAACTATACCTTAGCCCTCGATTATGTGATACAACGTGGTATACTATGTAATTTGTAATAATTAAATTCCAGAAAACTGTATGGTTTTGGTAGTAAGGGCTTCATGACATAAAATGTCAAGTGGAGACAGAGAAGAAAGGAAGATGTGGACTGGCAGGGAGGGTTAGCACAGGTGTAGCAGTGAGGCAACCATACTGTAAATTGCTACCGACATAGAATCCAGAGAGACTACTGGCAAAAGCTCAAATGAGACGTAAGAAGAGTTGAGATTCAGACAGTGGCTATGGTATAAATTTGGAAAATTGATAGCCACATGAGCCCTCTTTGCATGAGACTGGCATCTATGTGGAGTGATGGCTCCCTATGCCTCCTTTCATCTCATAATTTTTACATTTTTAAAAATGCATTGCTTTTTGTGAAAGTCAAGAAGTGATTCTTCCAATACTTTCTCAGCCCTTTCCCCTCAGTTATGAGACAATTTGCTAATTTTGCGTTCAAGAATACTTGCTGGGTAGTTAAAACTAGATAAATTTTATGAGCTAGATGTTGAAAGTTGACCAATAACTCTCAAAATCTGATTAAGAAAAGGAAACCCACACAACAGTTTAATTCCAAAATGATTTTTTTTTGCACATGCCTTATTTATTTGAAATTTTGCTTTATAGGAGAAAGGCAGCAACTTGTGCATGATTTCTCTGAACCAGGTATGTTAATATTTGACAAAGAATAACAGTCATTCCATTTAGAACTATGTATTGCTTGTTTCAAATACCTAAGAAAATATGTCAAGGTTAAAATAGAAGAGCTGGTGCACGCCTGTAATCCCAGTACTTTGGGAGGCCGAGGTGAGAGGTTGCAGTGGGCCGAGATCGCGCCACTGCACTCCAGCCTGCTGGCAGAGTGAGACTCCATCTCAAAACAAAAACAAAAACAAAAACAGAGCATATGTTGTTAACTTTATTCACACGAAATTGTAAAGGCAAAGAAAATGTTCTCTTTTTAAAATTAAAATAGGCATTTCTTATTTTAAAAAACATTTTGGGGGTCAGGGGCAGTAGCTATTGTCCCAGAACTTTAGGAGACAGAGCTTGATTAATTGCCTGAACCCAGGAGTTTGAGAACAGCCTAGGCAATATGGCAAATCTATCTACCAAAATACAAAAATTAGCTGGGATGGGGCATGCGCCTGTAGTCCCAGCTACTTGGGAGGCTGGCTGAGGTGGGGGGATCGATTGCCTGAGCCTGGGAGTTTGAGGCTGCAGTGAGCTATGATTGTGCCACTGTACTCTATCTAGCATTGGTGACCGAGTAAGACCTTGTCTCAAAAACAAATAAATAAGTAAATAAAAATAAATAAAAACATTTTGGAAATAGCAATACATAATCTGATAGTAGTTTTCCTTGTGAGTTAGATGTTTTGCCTTTCTAAGCAACCCTTAGTATTTGAGAAAGGCCTCATAAGAGCTTATAAAACAAATGAATTTCCCTCTTCCCTCCTGTAAAGAGTAAGGCATTTAAAATCATCTAATTAACTGACACTGTATTTAAAGGGTAAATCTCAGCCTTGATTCATTTTTGGCCAATGTGACCACTTAGGGGCCATCTTGACCACCTCTGTTGAAGGGTCATTTCTTCCCCCTCACTTGGTATCACTGTGTGTGCTCATTTGCTATTCAGCATTCTAACCCTCCCTTCACACTCAGCTGTGTCCATAGCTTACAGGGTAAAAAGCACATCATAGAAATTCATCACTATAACATGCATTTAAGCTAAGTGACCAAGAAGGCTGGGAAACACCAACAAGAGGAAATGCTACTTTTACTTTTTATCAATAATGGGACTTTTAAATATGAATTAGCCAAATAAATGAGCCATTTTACCTTTATTTCTAACCTTCCATTCTATTTACTTCATCTGGAAGCAATACAAATATGTTATAAATATTTTTAGTGACCATATCAGAGATTATGCATAAGAATACTGTGGAAGTAATGCAAGCTTAGAATATAGATGACCTGCATTATAGTTATAGTTCTACTTTTAACTAGTTGTCTGACCAAGGCTAAGTTAACCTTATTAGGCTTCTTTTCTTTATTTGTAAACCGTTTATACCAATTTGTTTCCAAAATTAGGATTCTATGATTTGTTCAATGCTCTTTTGTATGTTAAGACATATTTTCTTCATAACATCCAAAGTACGAAAGAATTTGTGCGCCAGGTACAGTGGCTCATACCTGTAATCCCAGAACTTTGGGAGGCTAAGGAGGGTGGATTGCCTGAGGTCAGGAGTTCGAGACCAGCCTGGCCAACATAGTGAAATCCCATCTCTACTAAAAACACAAAAAATTAGCTGGGCATGGTAGCGGGTACTTGTAATCCCAGCTATTAGGGAGGCTGAGGCAGGAGACAGGAGGCAGAGGTTGCAGTGAACCAAAATCGCTCATCACTCTTGTCCACTGCACTCCAGCCTGGGCAACAAGAGTGAAACTCCATCAAGAAAGAAAGAAAGAAGAGAGAAAGAGAAAGAAACAAACAAACAAACAAACAAACAAAGAAACAAAGAAAGAAACAAAGAAAGAAACAAACAAAGAAAGAAACAAAGAAAGAAACAAAGAAAGAAGGAAGGAAGGAAGGAGAAAAAGAAAGAGAGAAAGAAAGAAAGAAAGAAAGAAAGAAAGAAAGAAAGAAAGAAAGAAAGAAAGAAAGAAAGAAAGAAAGAAAGAAAGAAAAAGAGTTTTCCAGGTTACTGTAGAGCACACAATTTTTAAAAAGATAAAGTATACATAATAGTATATTAATGTACTCTCAATTAAAAGACAAGGTGATGTTACCCTGATTTTATCTGTCTTATTTTTTGATTGCTGTATGGTCATTTATTTCAAACTCTCATAATTTTGCTACTCTCTTTATCTCCTGTAGTGATAACACTCATTATTTTTGGGGTGATGGCTGCTGTCATCGGAAAGATCCTCTTTATTTCTTACTGTATTCGCCGACTGAGAAAGGTGAGAATGCAGTTTTTAATTTTGCTCTACGTACCAATGTGACTAGTTCTAGGAGAGTTTATTACTCTGAGTTCAATTAAACTAAAAAGAGAAACAGAATTGCATTAAACTCCATCTTTTTCAACTGGACACATAGAAGTCGCTCCATTACTCTGGCAAAATTTTGTCTTTTGCATTTGCCCAATTAAAGGGAACCTCCAAATATAACTCTATCCCCCATTTTCCCAATGAAAGATCTCTCCCTAGTTTTCTGTCTAATTTGCTTTTATATATTTTAATGGATATTGAGGAAATACTAAGATTCTACTTATAGTATTGACTCTATTTGTGTATTAATTATTTGAAAGAATATATTTACATATGTTTAAAACTTTGGGGGAGGCCAAGGTAAGAGGATTGCTTGAACCCAGAAGTTTGAGACCAGACTGGGAAACAAGGTGAAACCCAATCTATACCAAAAAAATGAAAATTAGAAAGGTGTGGTGGTGCACATCTGTGGTATCAGCTACTCAAGAGGCTGAAATGGGAGGATCACTTGAGCCCGGGAAATCAAGGCTGCAGTGAGCTGTGATCATGCCACTGCACTCCAGCCTGGGCAACAGAATGAGACCCTGTCTCAATAAATACATAAGTAAATAAAAATAAATAAAACTTTTGCTTTTTTTAATTCTCACATATTCTGAAACAAATTTTTCAAATTTCCACCCATGAATTCTTAACATCAGTGATTTTTTTTGAATCACCAGTGCTTTTATTTGAGACAGAATTTTCCTCTGTCACCCAGGCTCAAGTGCAATGGCGCAATCTCTGCTCACTACAGCCTCCACCTCCCAGGTTTAAATGATTCTCATGCTTCAGCCTCCGTAGTAGCTGAGACTACAGATGCAGGCCACAATGCCTGGCTAACTTTTGTATTTTTTTTTAATAGTAAAAATGGGGTTTCACTGTGTTGATCAGGCTGGTCTCGAACTCCTGGCCTCAAGTGATCCACCTGCCATGGCCTCCAAAGTGCTGGGATTACAGGCACGAGCCACCATGCCCAGCCCACTAATGCTATTTTTAAATCCATACAACACAGTTTATTGAAGTGCATAGCTTTTGCTATTATTTTCTATTCATGACGTTTAAGACACAATGTGTGTGTGTGTGTGTGTGTGTGTGTGTGTGTGTGTTTATGATGCTGTCGCTGTCTCTGTAATCTTAGATCAGAAGTACTGAGTCACAGGAGATTGATACAGTTATGTTTTTATTCATCCTATATGATTAATCTCTCTGTGATTTTTGAGACCATAACCACTATATAATTCTTGTAAAAAGGCTGAGAGGGGTAACAACACTGCAATTGTGGGACCATCAGAAGGAGAATGATAGCAAATCTACATAAAGTTCCTTTGCCTCTTTTCTTTTTTAACTGCTTCTAACAGTTAACTTCTACAACCATCCAATCCTATGATTGATTTTCATTATTCCATGTAAATATATCTTCCTTAAATAATACTTTTTGTTAATCAAAGAAAAGTAACTGAGAATGACTACTCTTGTATGAGAGATTTCGCAAGGTCTTTAAGATAACTTCTCTTGCCTGGAGTATAAAAGAGAAAAATCATCGTCTTACATGGGCCTATATGGCAAAGTGGGTTGTTTTCTCTCTTGGTCAATGTTCTAAAACCCAAAAAAGTCAAGGAAATATTTAGTTGGCAAAGTTCGGGTAATTTTCTAAATGTTTACGGATGACTTTTGTTCTGGTCAACATGATCCAGAGATCACACACTTTATTTTTATTTTCATTTTCACTATTTATTACAGGAGGGAAATAGGTAAGTGTCAGTGTTTGGGGTAATACTTTTCCTACTGAAATACCAAATACCATAGAGGAACACAAATACAAGTTTAAATCCATGCTTATAAATACCCATCAAATGGAAACTAGTAACAACAACCACAAAATCTCTGCAAAGGGGATTTCAATCAAAAGAAAAAATTAGAAAAAATATTTTTAAGCTGAGCCATTTTACTTTTTACTGTCTTAAGGTTAGAAAATTGTGACATTAATATTTTTTCTGATATTTCTTCATAGAAAAGCTCATTTGATGTACAACCTCCCTCCTCACCTGACACAGAGGTCCCTTTAAGCTCTGTTGAAACAGAAAATCCAGGTGGGTGTTAATGTTTGCACCTTTTGCCTTTTAGGAAAGAAAACTAACTAGAGAGTTACTTCTTTCTGATTTGAGGGAGGGGGAAACCAGCTATAATTCATTTCTATTCTATTTCATTAATTCTACCTCTTTGATGTTTCAGAAATGTAAGAGTTTGCAGCATAGTGAGATTCTCCTTTAGACACAAAGTGTTTTGTTTTGTTTAAAAAAAAAAAAAAAACTAAATGAAATAGTATAAGTGAAAGAGAAAACCAAATGTACTTCTTATGTCCAAAACTGCAAAGTTATGTGTATAGGAGACTCTATGGTCAGTATGTGTAATAGCCTCAGATCTAAAATCAGATTTGGATTTGAATCCATGCTGCAACACTTATTAACTGTGTAACCTTCAGCAAGCTACTAACCTCACTGAATATAGAGATAGTGATAGTGTCAACCTCACAGATGTTAATTTTAATGAGAATTAAATGAGCTACAACTGGTAAAGCGTTTAGAACTGTTCCTGGTCATCATCGGTTCTCACGCCTGTTAGCTGTTATCAAGATAGCAAGCCATCTAGCACATACTTTCCTCTCCACTCCCAGGCGCTAAGTAGATACAAAACGTGTGAAAGGCCGTGGATACATTTTGTTCATCCAGAACAGTATCACCACATAGTGCTTTTTGAAAAGAACATTTATTGGCAACCTTTAAAAGTGGGAAGTTTTTACATTAAAAAAAAAAAAAATCAGATGTTAGTATTCCTTTGGTGAAAAAATGTAAACTCCCAAAATGCCGAGAGCCTTCATATCAGCATGAGACCAATTCCTAAGAGCTCAGTAGTGGCTGCTGCCTCTACTGTTAGTCTAAATAGCCAATTACATTTGTTTTATTCACTATGGCCCCTGGTATGAACTAAGAAAGTATATCGTTCCTATTGAACTTTGTCTAAAGCATAAACCCAAATGACAGCTATTTTGGGAGATAGCCACCAAGAACAAGTCTCTAGAATGAGCTTTATTCCTTAAGTAAAGGAGATTTTATTCTGCCTTCTACAAAATCAATTAATTTTTCTCCCATAACTTTCTGATAGATCAGAAGTCATGTACGTTTCTGGATATTACTTTTAACCCTGGACCAGTCTAGGTTTTCTAGACTTTGGAGTCACAGAACAGAGAGAGTTTTAAAGATCCATCACAGCTACACGGGTTATATGCAGGATTTGCCACATCACACTATCATGTGAATTCTTAAAGCTTAACAATGACTGTTACACAAAGTTTTAATTCTAAGAAGTTCCCGCTGTGTGAAAATGAATGGCATAGATACGATTCTCAGCTAAAAGGATTAATAAAATCCAATCCGCAGATACTTGAAACAACAAAGGTTTTGAGTCATATACCAGGTTCACTTCATTTACTAAGGTTATCTTGTTATTGGACTGGCAGCTGGAACAAGTATCTGCAAAATATTCATTTGATTTGCATTTTGCCTTGTTCAAAAAAAAATGTCTTGATGCAGTTTTTAAAATAGAACAATTACAACTGAAAATCTATTTTTTAAACTTAAATTTCTACACACTTTTAGCCACTTATTTATTCTAGTAACATATTTAGTGTTTAGTGTTTCCTCTGCCATTTTTTTTTCATACAATCTTGGGCATCTCAAATCTTTGGGCCAATTTAATATACCACAGTGCATTAAGATGTCCTTGTAGTTTAATTCAGTTAAGTGCAACAAACATTTGCTAAATGCATACAGTGGGGTAGGCACCACACTCGCATTAGATATACCAATATGAATCCTCATCCTTGAGAAGCTGAGAGACTAATGGGAAAAAACAGTATGTTATTTCAGTGAACACATTCTACAGTAGTGGCAGCAATAGCTCCACTTGTTCCAGAGACTGGGACAGGTATCAAAGCCTTCTGGAGATGAAATCACCTGAGATTAGTCTTAAAAGATGGATGTGAAAGTACCCCTCATTCACACCACAGAATCAGAGAGGAACTTGGCCGTAAGCTTTTGTGCAGACTTCTTTGGGGGGGTGGGAAAGAAGTCATTCTTCAAAAACACAGGACAGACTCAGAAACATGCCTTAAATATTAACATGTGTAGGTCAATTCAACTTATCGTTTACTAGCTTCACTTTATATTTTGCCTCTGTACAAGTTTGGTTGTTAGTTTCTTATCTCTGTAGAAACCGGGAACAGAGCAACTATATTTATTCTTTACCTAAGGCTTTTGGAATAGATATAATAGATATGCTAAGAAATTCTGTATTTTTTTTTTTACACGAACCTTCAATAGAGCTAATCAGTAAGGAGATGCCTTTTGTTTCCTACTAATTATGTTCAAGGACAACTCTTCAGAAATGTAGAATTCTAAAATTTATGCTGCACATTAATTTCCTGTTTTGTTTAACAAAACTATGTCTCATATTTTGGTCTTGTTGTTTTTGTACTATAATCCTTCTAGAGAAAGTTGATCAATGAGAATCTGTTCACCAAACCAAATGTGGAAAGAACGCAAAGAAGACATAAGACTTCAGTCAAGTGAAAAATTAACATGTGAATTGGACACTCCAATAAATTATATACCTACCTAAATTGTACAATTTCAGAATGCAATTTTCATTATAATGAGTTCCAGTGACTCAATGATGGAAAAAAATACTCTGCTCATTACTATTTCAAGATAAAGAACAAATGTTTCCTTGAGTCTTTGCTTTTGTATGTTAGCATAATTTTTAGAATTGATTGAGAATTCTAATCCAAAACTTTAGTTGAATTCATTTACATTTGTTTAATACTAACTTAATCTAATCTATTGTATTGTAATAATGGTGCTGTGAAATGAAAGGCTTGAAATACCTAAATGAAGTTTAGGTTTTCTTCCTATTGCAAACTTTTGAGTCTGGTTTCATTGTTATAAATAAATTAAGGGGACACTAAAGTCCTATCATTTATTTCCTTCATTGCTGAACAGGCAAGATATAATATTACATGAATGATGATGATGATGATGATGATGATGATATACTATTACATGAATGATGATGATATTTTGTTCACACTAATAAAGCTTAATAAAATTTAAAAGAAATTTCTAGATATAGAGACTAAGGTATGTGACTATACAGCTGTCACTCATTTATAGTGAAACTTAAAAAAAAAAAAAAAAAACCTTCCTGTGATACTTTATTTCCAAACTAATAAAAATCTATATGACTTTTCATTGTTATGTGATAATAAAGTAAATTTTTTATATATTTTCAGGCCTGGCAACTGAAATTTATTTTTTAATAAATTAAAAGATCAAATTTTAACCTATTTGTATCTTCAGAGTGTTTTTGTACTAAATTGACTACTTAAAATACAAAATGAGACTAAGAAGAGAACAGTTCTTGATACGTGTTTTTTAAAAGTAATTTTAAAAGGATTATTAGGTTAATTTAATCCAATTAATGACCCAAATGCCAAGGTAATTTTAAATTTACATTTTTAATAAAAACAACCTGTTGAAACAAGAGAGCATGAGATTAACCTTTTCGCTAAAGTAATTTACAAGTCAAAGACAAGAAGAGATCAGAGTGAATGTGCCATCTTAACCAGAGCTACAGAATTTAGTGAATAATTAAAGTACAAATTACTTTAACCTCCTTGAACTTTTCCAAGCAATTTCTCTGTACTTCTATATATGAATGTCTTAGTCCATTTTCTGCTACTATAACAGGATACCACAGACCGGGTAATTTATAAAGAAAAGAAATTTATTTTCTTCCTAGTTTTGGAGGTTGGGAAGGCCAAGGGAATGGCACTGACATCTCCCTTGTATCTGATAAGGACCTTCTTACTGTATGATAACAAAGCAGAAAGGCAAGCAAAAGTTTAAGATGAAGAGAGAGGAAATGAAGCCAAACACATCCTTTTATCAGAAGCCCACTCCCTCTATAAGGCATTAGTCCATTTACGAAAATGGAGCCCTCGTGACCTAATCATGACTTTAAAGGCCCTTCCCAACGCTGTTACAAATGCAATTAAATTTCAACAAAGTTTCCAGAGGTGACATTCAAATCATAGCAATGAACTTATCATAGTTAAATTTGGTATTTGTCAGGGAAGAAATGACCATTTCCCTTTTATGAATTCTTTCCTATGAAGATACCATGACTCCATGGATGGCTCATGTTGGATTTCTTGAAATTGGGCCTGGGATGGGAGGGTTTGGTGATTCTGATTATGGAATTTTACTCTTCAGCCCTGAGTGTTTGCTTGTATAGTTGTAAGCAAAAGGTTTAAACGACGGAAAAAATAAATGCAGAAAACTGAGAGACATGGTGAAGAAAGAATGACCCTTTTTTGCAAAAACTTAACCCTGAAAGCAACTCTGAATGGAGAGCCAAACGATGACATTGGGAAAGGGATATTTTGGTGATATTGATATACAGTCATTGAATTATAGCCCTCTGGTTTATTCTAAATACTTATCCTATCAAATGCAGCAAATTTCTCAGAAGAAACTCCTGAAAGCCAAATGTTACCTAAATAAAATTTTAGATTTATTTAAATCTAAATTTAGATTTAAAATGCATAGGCCTCTCAACCAGTTCTAACGCACTGATGCCCTAGGCGGTATTTAGGGAGCATGTGCACTGCCAACCGCTAACGCACTTTTGGCATCTAGAACTAAACATGCCCTCTGATTCCTCACAGCACATACATATTTCGTAGCATTACTATGATCTGAATTCCACATCCTACTTAAATATGATTCATTAAGAGGAAGAACTTTCATGCACTTTTGTAACTCCCAAGAGGCTTCATAAAATTTGCTTCTTATTTCATGAAGCCTATATTAATATTTAAAATGACATGATACACAGTGACATCTTGAAGGTTTGGTCTGGGTAGCATGAAAAGAGAACCCGGTTTGGGGCCAGGGATTGAACATAACTTTGGTTTCTTTATCTGAAATCACCTGAAATACGATGATGAGAATAATATGATGATATATCATATTATTATTCAGAATAATCATAAATCTGAAATCATCTGAAATATGACGATGATGCCTTGCAGAAATGTCACAAGATTTATATATTTATGTATACTTATATATTTATACAAAAAAGTGAAAAACAAGAAGAAACTATTAATATCAGTCCAAAGGGAAAAAAATTACTATATCTCTCATTATCCTCATGTCAGTCACGTGCAACTTTTGCAATTCTCTCCCATATCATCTTAAATCTGAATAGTGTCTGGTTTATTATTATTTACATGTTGATGTAATGTGCAGAGTGATATTCTCTGCAACAGCTTCCCTCAGACTAAAGCCCCTGGATTTTTTTTTTTTTAATTTTGCGTAGAAACTAAACAAAGATTAACACATAAGGAGGAAGAGTACAAATGCTTTTTGATGGAAATAGGAATACTACAGCAAAACATGACTCAACATGATTATGTACACCATCTGCTTTTGTAGGGCAAATAAGCAGCTTTTTAGAACTAGCCCTAATTTATCTTCAAAGAATGTAAATGTGCTGTACTGAATTTGTATATAGCTGTGGAGCTTAGTATTAAGCCATAATTAATATGAGAGGAAGAAAAATAAAAGGATAAGCACAGTTATGTTTTAGTAGTTTACCTACAAGGTACTATATGACTTGCCTGCAAAAGATACAACAGGTAGGTTTTGAAAATAGAAAATAAATCCAGTGAGGTCCTTTGGCTCACACCTGTAATCCCAGAAGACTGGGAAGCTGAGGTGGGTGGATCACCTGAGGTCAGGAGTTCAAGACCAGCCTGGCCAACATGGTAAAACCCTGTTTCTACTAAAAATACAAAAATTAGCTGGTCATGGTGGTGCAAGCCTGAAATCCTAGCTATTCAGGAGGCTAAGGCAGCAAAATTACTTGAACCTGGGAGGTGGAGTTGGCTATGAGCCGAGATCACGCCACTGCACTCCAGCCTGTGTGCCAGAGCAAGACTCCAACTCAAAAAAAGAAAATAAAGAAAATAAATCCAATTATGGAGAAAATACAGGCATAGTTTTGTACCCTGACTTATAATTATTCATTTTTAAAAATATATTTATTTCCTAATACTTTATTTACCCATGAAAAGAAAGTACTTATTAAGAAGTATGATAATATTTTTTCTTAAATCTACACTTAAAATGTCAAAAGTGTGACCATAGACTGGAGGATCTTAAAATTGACAACTGGCTGAGCAGCCTGGGGTGAGAATGGTGTAAAATACCTGTGCAGAGGTATCACAGCCAGGCCAGGGAACCATGGGAAAGGGAAGGTGAGAACATTCATCATCTGACTGATGACGAAATTTAATACACTTATGGTTCCAAATTTGAACACTGGAAAGTGATGTAGACCATGGGGAAGATGGAAAGCAGGTGAGGCTTGATGCATCAGCACACCCTATCTGAACATGAAGTCATCACATGAAGGACAGCTGGAGAAGAGAGGGAGAGGAATGGAAGAAAAGTGGGAAAGTGAGGTAGGTCCTGAAGAGCTGTGCATCCAGCTGTGTCTAAGCAAATATGACCTCTTCTCAGTTATGGGAGCCAGTAAGTCCCTTCTTTGCTTAAGCCAGTTTTTGAAATTAGGCTTTTTGTCATTTATGGTAGAAAGAGTCTTAGCTAAAGTAATAGAAAATTAAAATAGCTGATTGGGCTGACACCTTATATCCAATAAAAACTGCATTCCAGGTTGACAAATAAGACAATACAGAATTGACAAAGGAAATGTCTAAAAATTGCACAATTCTACAACTCTCACCAACAGCAAAGGTATAAAAGTGTAAGGAGCTGGTGACTGGATAAAAGGGAGTGTAGAGAAGAGAGCTGTTTGTCTGTCTTCAAGACCTCTCCCAAGGAGGAGAGGTGAGGGGGTTTTCCTCTCTTCACTTTGTCAAAAGCTCTAGAAGGTCTTAGGAGAACTTAAATGTGTACTTGGAATGTTAGAGAATTCTGACTCTCACTTGAGAAACCCAAAGGGCAAAATGATGGTCCCAATCCTGCCCTGAAAGTATATCAAGAGGAGATTGGAAAGCTGGGGATGACAAGCATTCCTAGAGTTTTAAGAGGCAAAGGAAAAATGAGTTTCTTGTGGGCTCTATACACACCAACCGGAAAAAAAAAAAAAAAAAAAAAAAAAAAAAAAAAAAAAAAAAAAAAAAAAAAAAAAAAAAAAAACATTGTTCCTGTGGGTTATCTTTGGACATGTTGGAAATGACTTCCTAGAGAGGTCAATAGCTTTTAAGCGAAAGAAAGTAGAAGTGTTGCCAGACATCTAATGCTTTGTTTACTCATGAAGGAAGGAAGACGGATGTAGGCAAACAACTGAAACAGACAAGGATGGGAAAATTCTGAAGAACTCACAAGATCACCTATAAGAGAAAGGTTCAAATGTAAATCTCTGCCAAGAGAAAATGTGAGATCACTGTGAAATATTGGTCTAGTCAGAACTTTCTTACCCTTTTACCTAGTGTTTTCTTTCCCGTGTTCCAATGCCAGAGGGTTTGAAAACTTTGAATAGCAAGATGGAAGAAAAGGAATCAAGGGTCCGGTTTTGGGTGGGGGAGAAGGTGACCACATCATTCCTTCCCTGAATCCAGGGAAAAGAAAGAATAAAAACATTAATTTTAAATCAGAATGAAAATATTGATTATTGCATTGGAATAGATATTTTCATTACAAAAGGGGGAGACATTTGTATTAAATAATGGCGACCAGAAGAGTGATGGGGTGTTTGGGCAGAGGAACAATGCAAGGACTGACTAGTTCTACAGAAGACATTTAAAAGGACACAGGAGACATAACTCAAATTATTTTTAATTGAATTCCATAAGTCTTGTTTACTTAATACAACCATTATACAGATAGAAGTATTAATGTCACAAAAGCATTTGTTAATGACATAGATAAGGCATAATGGGAAACAAGACTTACACATTATTAGTAACTGTAAATTGACTTAAAGGCAATAGAGTAATG